AATTTATCGAGACTTGTTTTATGGCCCAGCGTGTGGTCTGTCCTGGAGAATGTCTCACGTGTACTTGAGAAGACTGTGTGTCCTGGGGTCCCTGGGTGAAGGTTCTGTAGATGCAAGTTGGTTCCAGTTGGCGGATAGTACTGTTCAGGTCTCTCCCCTTTACTACTTTTCTTTCTGGCTGTTCTGTCAACACTTAGAGTACTCAAATTTCCAACTGTTATTTTTAAATTGTCTATTTCTCCTTTCGATTATGTCAGTTTTGCTTCATCTATTAATATTTTAGGACTCTGTTTTTAAGGCACATATACACTTGTTTGTAGTAATATTTCTTATCTTAAAGTACATTATTTTTCTATTATTAAGACAGGCCACTCTAGCTTTCATAATGTTACTGTTTGTATGGTATATCATTTTTTATTTCTTTGCTTTCTTTTTTTTTTTTTTGAGACAGAGTCTCACTGTGTTGCCCGGGCTAGAGTGCCGTGGCGTCAGCCTAGCTCACAGCAACCTCAAACTCCTGGGCTCAAGCGATCCTTCTGCCTCAGCCTCCCGAGTAGCTGGGACTACAGGCATGCGTCACCATGCCTGGCTAATTTTTTCTATATATTTTTAGTTGTCCGATTAATTTCTTTCTAATTTTAGTAGAGACGGGGTCTCGCTCTTGCTCAGGCTGGTTTCGAACTCCTGAGCCTCAGCCTCCCAGAGTGCTAGGATTACAGGCGTGAGCCACCGCGCCTGGCTATTTCTTTGCTTTCTACCTATTTTTGTCTTTGAATCTTAAATGTGTCTCTTATAGGCATCATAGTTGGGTCTTTTTTTTTTTTTATTCAGTCCATCAACCTCAGCCTTTCGATCAGTGTTCAATGCATTCACATTTTAATGGGATTATTGATATGGTTGGGTTTTTGCTATTTGTTTTCTGTTTGTTTCATATCTTTTTTGTATCTCTGTCCTTTATACTGTTTTCTTTTGTGTTAAATATTATAAAATTTACTATTTTACTCTGTTAATTTATTATGCTTTATTACTTATCTGCTCTAGTAATTAGAATTTACATTTTAATTTATCATAATCTACTTCAGAGTAATAGCAACTTAATTCTGGTAAAATATAGAACTTTTCTCTTTTTATTCCCTACTCCTTTGAGCTATTATTGACATACATGTTATATCTATATATGTTATAAACCCCAAAAGAGCAGTTTTATAATTACTGCTTTACATAATCTTACATCTCTTAAAAGAGTAAAGAGAAGACATGAGGAAAATAGTTTTTCAAAAATTTACTCACATATTTACCATTTCTAGAAGCCTTCAATTCTTCTTACAGATTTGATTTACTGGAGACAGGGTCTCTTATGTTGCCCAGCCTGGACTTGAACTCCTGGAGTCAAGCAATCCTCCTACCTCAGCCTCCTGAGTAGCCAGAACTACAGGCACACACCAGCCACTGTGCCCGACTAGTATTTCTTACATGAAATGTCTGCTTGCAATGAATTCTTTCAGTCTTTTTCTAGAAATGTCTTTTCTCACTTTTGTTTTTAAATTATTATTTTGCCAGACAAAGAATTCTGGGTTGAAAGGGTTTTCTTCCAGCACTTCAAATGTGTCAGTCCACTGCATTCTGGCCTCTGTTATTTCTGAGGAAAAATCAGTCATTAATCATGCTGTTGCTCACTTATACTTGATGAGTCATTTTTCTCTTGCTGCTTTCAAGATTTTCTCTGTCATTATCTTTCAACATTTTGACTAGGATGTGTTGAGGTGTGAAACTTTGTGTTTACTTTGTGTTTGCTGAGGTTTTTAAATGTGTAAATTGATTTTTTAAAAATCAAATTTGAGAAATTTTTGGCTATTATTTCTCCAAAAATATTTTTTGGCCCCTTCCCTTTCTTGCCTCTTCTTGCCTGTGTCTTGCTTTATAAATACGCTGGTATGCAATACATTATAAATACATTGCTCCAAAGGTCTCTGATGCTCTATTCGTTTTTCTTCAATCTTTGTAGTCTCTCTTCTTCAAATTGCTTATTTACTACTGATGTATCTTCATGCTCACTGATCCTCTGCTGCACCCCTTTTAATAAGGGTTTTTTAGTTATTTTACATTTCAGCTCCAGAATTTCCATTTGACTCTTTTTAATAGTTTCAGTCTTTGTTGAGATTGTTGAGCCATTCATTGTTGTCATACTTTATTAACAGGGTTTCCTATACTTTTGGGATATTTGTGATAGCTGCTTTAAAATCTTTGTCTGCTAAATTAAACATCTGGTGACAATGATGATAGCTTCTTTCAACTGCTTTTTTTCCCTGAGTATAGGGTGTACATTTTCATTTCTTTGAAAATCTTGTAATTTATGAAACAAATTCATGCTTTCTAATGCATGACCAGTATCTGTGAAATTCCATGTGTTCAAAAACAAGTTATATTCTCTAGTATCTGGGTGTATATTGAGGAAACATAGCCCATCTATACTATACATCATACTTAAAAAATACACCCATGTGTACATGCATACGTGTGTATATGTGGATATACATATACGTATTGCACATATACTATAAAAGCTTGACAAATTGGTATATAATCTATCTTATATTGTTTAGGTCATCTAAAGCCCACTTAATTTTTGCCCACTTGACTTTTCTTGGACAGAAAAACTCAAATCTCCAGTGTGTTACTATTTTCCCTTGAGTCTCCTACAGTATGCTTTGTGAATGTGGGTTGTGTTTCTTAGTGCAAAAATACTTACAACTATTTTATCATTATTTTGAATTGTGTCCTTTAGCATTACATGCTTAATGTCTATTGGCCAGAACTCTACCCTGTCTGCTATCAGAATTGTCTCTGCTTTCTTTTGTTTCTATTTTTATGTTTAGTTTTCCTGAGTCATTAAGGTGTGTCTTTTGCATAGCAGAATTTGAATTTTGCTTGTGAACCAATTTGAAAACTTTTTCTTAGAGTAGAAATTGGGTGCACGCATTTATTTATATGACTACTATGTCTGATCTCAATTTTGTGTATTTTCTGTATACATTGTTATACTTATTTTTCTTCTCTAATTTTGCTTTTCTTTAAAAAGAATTTTGGAAGGTTTGCGTTTTTGTTCTATCTTTATAATCAAAACTTCTTACAATGTCCTTAATACCCCCTATTCTTCCATTAGTCTGTTTAAATAATATCCTTGCACTTAACTCTGCTATTATTTACATCATGAGTTTATTTTCCATTTCTTGATTAGATGCTTTCCCCTAGTAGATTCCTTAGGAAGGGCTCATGAATAAGTATCAAATTCTAACTTCAAATTGTTTTTCTATAATCTTGTTACTTGAGTCTGCTTTGTGCATGTAAAATCTTTGATTCACATTTCTTTTTCTCTTGAATCTATAGAAAATGTTCCACTTTTGTTTGCTTTGTGTATTGCTGTTGAGATGATTTATCTGTGCTCGATCATCCTTAAGGCTCCTATTCCATCCTCCTCTTTACCAGGCAGTAAGTAGGGAAATGAGTGTAAGTATTCTCTACAGCCTGACCCTACTGTGGGTGTTGGTTACGGATGTTTTGGTTTCTTGTTATCACAAGGACAGTGTTTTGGGAAGATGTGTGAAGATATTCAAATTAGACAAACATTTTCCTTGGACATCTCTCTCTTTTGGGACTAAGGCTTTATGTCCGCAAGGAAAGATGGCATCAGGCCCACATATCAGATGATTCTGTCTTACCTCATAGATTTTAAGATGCACCTTCTTCACCTGTATTATAATATTTCTAACATTGAAATACATCTTACAGCTGATACCATATTACAGGTAGAGTTGTTTTCTTTTCGTGGTACATAAAATAAGTATACATGGTACAATTAGTGAAGTTCTGAGTTTGATGAAATACTGGTCTCTTTTCTGTTTCAACTTGCCTCAAAGCCTCCCATTTCCTGAGTTGGAACCTAACCCTACACAATAAAAAGGTCACGTGGTTCCGTTCTCCCTGTGGGCAATCCTGTTGCGTGGAAATGGGCTCCAAATGGGTTCCCTGCCTGTCACTCCAAGTAACTGGCTTTTCAAACACAGGATTAATGACAGGGCACGTCAGAGCTTTCACTCTTTGTAAAGGAAATTTGTATCCTGCTTCAGATTTGAGATGACTGTCCTTTCTCAGCATTTTGCTTCAGTTTGATCCAAATTTTACTGTCCTAGCAGACTTTTTTTTTGGTATTGCATATTACTGGACTGCAGTCACTCCATAGTTTTAATATAAGGACTTTATTTTTGGTTCTTTTTGTTTAAAATGTTGGTGTGTTTCAATGATTGAAGTAATGTGCCTTCCTCCACGATCTTCCCCAGAAATTTCTCATCAAACATTTAGATGTTATTTTAACTTAGAAAGAATTATAAAAGCTGAACAATTACTATTCTTATCTGTTTATAAAAATAATGACTCTGGCATATATACATATATATTTTTTGAGATGGTCTCACTCTGTCACCCAAGCTGGAGTGCGGTGGTGTGATCACAGCTCCCTGCAGCGTTGAGCTCCTGGGCTCAAGTGATCCTCCCATCTCAGCCTCCCATGTAGCTGGGACTATGGGCATGTGCCACCACACCCAGCTAATTAAAAAAAAAAATTCTTTTTGTAGAGATGGGGTCTTGCTATATTGCCCAGGCTGGTCTTGAACTCCTGGCTTCAAGTTATCCTCCTGCCTTGACCTCCCAAAGTGCTGGGATTATAGGCATGAGCCACTGGGCTTGGCCATGACTCTGGTATTTTTGTAGTCTTAAGAAGCCAACGCTTAAATCAGCAGAAACCTAAGAAATTTCAGATATTACATGTTCTTGTATATTCACATGGTTGGGTGTAAAAAAAAAAAGGAACTAAGGAAGTCAGCTGTTGTTTTCTAAAATAAAAAGAAAAAACAAAACAGGCACACACACAAATACTACCACCCTGGGTTTGCCAAAAAAAGTTAAAATTAAGAGAATATTCTGTTGAATACATTATATATGCAAACAGACTGATCATCAGGAACGCAGGTTTATTCCATTAAAAAACAAAACAGAACAGATTTACCCCCAAAGACTACTGTATCCTTTAGAGCAGCAGCAATCACAAGGCACATATATATGTACGAAATACCTCAAGAAAAATAGAAACTGATCATTAAAAAAATACATGTTATTTAAAAAGACGTTGAAGACATTTGTTAATATGAACATAGATTATTAAAATGACACTTTTAAAATAATTTTATTCCTTTACCTTTAATGAGAGAGGGAATAATGGTGTTACTTTGTGGCACATACCACAAACCTTCACACCACTTAACTTGGTTTGCTAAAGAAAAAAACAGGTAAAGTACAGCTTAAAATTTTTATTTTTAGTGCTTTCACATACTTTTTAGATATTGGAATTCATAAGCTGAAAAGAAAAATAATTCTCATTTTTCTTAGGTTAGGAAAAGCCTGCAGTTATATGTCTGTAGGCAAACCCACCATACAAAAAAGGAATTCATTTGAGATATTCTAAAATGTGAAGGACATGATTTATATTTTGGGATCCACATAATAACCAACCCCTTCCTAAAAGACTAGAAGTCAACACATAATAAATGTAAAGGTCAATTATATTAAAATAAAATAGTATTTGATTTAAATTATTGTTCATTTAGAAACAATTCTCTGATTAGAGATGCTCATGTTAGAAACGGTGTAACATCAATATTTAGTGTATATAAAAATTCTAGGATTCAAATATAGTGAAAAGTTTATAGTAATCACACGGAAACTGTCCCTTTTAGTCCCAGTTAGCTTCACACGATGATGACTGGAAAAGATGTGGCTGAAGGAGATCTTAAGTGACAAATGTGTGTCGTGTGTGCTGGAGTGTCCTCTCAGCTCTATGCTGCTAAGTCGCTTTTCTATGAAATATCAAGGGATTACGGAGTGCTCACAGATCGTTCTATTGGAAGGGAGAAAAGAGAAACAAACTCCAGTTTTAAATGACAACAATAAAGAATATAAAATACTAGTATAATAAAACATTTAAATAGTACTAAACATACAATTTAAATACCAGTTACACTGTCATTAGTTTTCCTCTTTAAAAGATCAGTTCCTGGGCTTTTAGATGTGTTTTCTTTTTAAAAATAACAAGCATCCTTCTCCTGGTCACACATTTGGTCCACATCCACACCACTGGTACCGATGCCATCGAATATCCATGTGCCTGCACTCTCTTCCAGGCCACTTCCTGGCCGGCAGGAGGTCTGCATGTCGTGTGGCAGGAGGTCGCAGTCCTGGGACTCAGCCTAGAGCAGGACAGCCTGGGTCACCTCCTTGATGGTGGACGCAGCTCTCTCCAGTTCTTCTTCTGTTTGTTCCACTGTGACCACAACCCTAATGCTGAGAAACAGTAAAGGGTACAAAAATTTATCAAGGGAGAAAAAAATTTACCAAGGTCAACCATCTGTGGCCAAAGAGCCAATCGAGCACCACCAATTTTTGTAAATAAAGTTCTACTGCTACTCAGTCTGCCCATCTGTGTACCTGCTGTCTACAGCCGCTTTCTCAATACCGTGGCGGGTGAGCTGCCGTGACAGGGACTCCACGGCCTCTGAGCCCCAGCCTATGCCATCAGCACGCACACAGTCTGCTGTGGGCTCTGCCACCAAGCCCAGGAAACAGTGTCCCGTCCATCACTTACTGCTTCACGTAGTGCCAGGAGCAGGAACTCAACCGTTCTCAAATCAGGGAGTGTTTGGTTGTTTGTATTTTTAAGTCAATGAGCAATGTGGAAGTTCTGTAATACTCTGAGGCATGGCAGAGATTTTCAAGTGTTCAGGAAACTGAGGAAATACTAGCTTGACAGGACAACACCATCTTGGTCCCCTCACTTCCCTTTGCAAACATCTGCTTCATGTACCGGATACATTTATTGAGATGCTCTGTGCTGGGCAGAGTCCCAAGAGCACACGTGGGACTCCGTGTGCATGGCCCCCATCATGCATCTGTGGTCTGACCAACAAGTAAACATAGGATTGTGTGCTTGGATGGGTGCAGTGACAAAGGACAGGGGCAAGGTCTCTAAGGCGCCTCTAGCTGCTGCCAGAGTGACCTTCCAAATCCTCATCTGGCCGCCCCCACCCCGCACCCGTGCCTCCAGAGTGTTGCCACTCCTCAGTGGGCTCTCCCTCGCCCTCCCTGACCTGGTGCCTGGCCTCCCCCAGGACCTGTCTCTCCGGCCCCTCTGCTGCTTGTGCTCTGGGCTCCCAGATGGACATGGAGGTCTCCAAGCCACTGCAAAATCCGAGCAAAGCTCGCACCACCTCACGTGCTGGAGGGCCCCAATGCCCCCTGGTATCTGACACACACACTTGTTTCTCCAGGTTTGGGTTAGGCGTCACCTGCTCTTAGAAGCCTGGGCGTCATACCAGGGCAGAGCTGGCCACACGTCTCCTGTGACCACCAGACCCAGTGCCGTGTTTGGATGTCCACCTCCCTCGACTACACTGTGAGAGCTCTGAAAGCAGAATCCAGTCTCCTTTAACATCTTTAAGCTCTGCTATGTCTCGTGGACTCTGCAGATTTTCTCCACCTTTGCTCCGTGTTTCCCAAGGCGCTGAGTGAGTGTTTGCTGGATGAAGTACCAGCAAAGGTGGCATGATGACCACGACCCGGACTGCTATCCCTCCCTGCAGGATGGCCCTCGTGGCAGGAATTGCTGGCATGGCGCATGCCACCTCTGAGATGTGGGAGGGACTGCAGCTTGCCCCGGTTCACTACCGAGATCTCACACGTTTCTTTGAGTTAACTGGGAGGGTCCACAATGAATCCTGAGGGGCTTTTAGTTAAAATTTAAAAATATCTAGTTTAAAAGCGGAAAATAGGTGACATACTGTGTTTTAATGACAGACATTCTTCTTGATAGTCTTTCAGAATTTTTCAAAACATAATGTATTTCACAGAGTTTAAAGTAGGAAAGAAATGTAAGGTCATATTTTAATGCCAACCAACCTGGGAGGAGGGAGGCACTTCTCTTCTTTCTCTAAGTAGCGCGCCTGAGTCAAGGCAATATTTCTGTTCATGCACTGTGTGAAGAAAAAGTAAGATATTTGCAACCTGGTCTTCATACATGGTGGAAATTCAAGCAGCAGGGCACACTGAGATCCCTCAACAGCAGTTTTCATTCACTTTTCCAATGATAACCGCTAGAAGACAACGCTAAAATACCACAGTGTAACCTCGAGCGGCCCGGTCCACAGAACTTCCTGCAGTGATGAATACACTGTTCTGCGGTGTCCAGTCTTGTCGCCATGAGCCTCATGTGACTGCCAAGCACTTGCAGACGTGGCTGATGCCACTGAGAGATTGAATTTCTAGTTTTACTTACTTCTACTTAAATTTAAACAGCTGTAGGTAGCTAGTGGCTACCATTTTAGACAAAGCAGAGTTAGAGCATGAGGAAGTAGTATGAGCGAAGCCCTGCAGGCATCAAGAGCCGCACCGAAGACACCACCAGCAGGACCGTGTCAGAGAAACATCCCTACACTTCAAATAGTAGCAATAATTTGATTTCCACATGCTACACTTGGGTAAGGTGCTACCAGGACTAAAAGGGCTGGTATTAAATTTTTTGCAAAGCTTTCTCATACGCTAACCACTGTCAACATTTCTTTTTTTCATTAAAACATTCTCTACTAAAATAAAGCATAAAAACCAGAGCAAGGTTAGTAGGACACAGGGGTTTCTTTTTAGGGTGATGAAAATGTTTTGGAATTAGATAGCAATAGCTGCACAATTTTGTGAATGTACTAAAAATCACCTAATTTTATACTTTGAAACAGTGAGTTTTATGGTATGTGAATTACATTAAAAAAAAAACAAACCGAAGTCAGGGGTAGCGTAAAGGCAAGTACAATTATTCCACATGCCTGGCAGTCAAAGCATCGCCTGAAGAGGGTCGCACTATAAGCTGCAAGGACGGGAAGGAAGCAACACCAGGCCATGGCGACAGCCTCTCACTGACTCTAGATACTGGAAGTATACTTGGGAAAGTGAACTCCTGAAAACATCTGGACTAGCTCTGTTTCTAGCCCTGGCTGGTTAAGAGACATTATAAACAATAGCTCAGTTTGTAAAAAATAGTGTGCTGTCGAGCAACTTGACATAAACTTGGCAAAACCTAGTTCTACAAAGCTTAAATCAGCATGATTTAAGCACCATGATTCTTCTTTCAAATATTAAAAAGAAAAAGAGGGGAGTGGGGCAAAAGATTTTGAAGATTTTAAGCAAAAGATTTTGAAGATATTAAACTGTAAGATCTTTTTTTCTTCCTACGAATGAGAAGTTTCCACACAGCATTCTGTTTCCCACCCCAGACTGTTCTCCACTTCCTTAAGACCCCAGCATCACACTGGCCCACGGATATGCTTTTGGGATCTGCGAGTTGCCCACGGACTTCTGCTTTCTCTGTGTCATGTGGGTAACCTACGCAAGCGCAGCATATTCATACTGAGTCACTTCATTCACAGCTTCCTCTGTCTCTCTTTGGAACAAAGCAGCAGGAAGCCTTTAACCATTGCTGTTAATGAGAAAAGGACGGAGGTGGATTTAACATGGGGTCATCGCACTGGCACCTAGAGGCGGCAAGTGTCCCGAACACGAAGCGTGTGCAGACAGCTGTCCTGAGGCAGCTTGAGCTGAGACTCTGAGAGAGGATGAGGAGTCACCACTCAGAACCCAGCCCAGGCACAAGCAGCTCATACAGGCCTGCTCCGTGTGGGTCTCGGCCATGCCACCGGGGGACGATGCCATTCACCTTCAACGAAGGCAATGTAATGAATTTGAATTTTATTGGCTTGTTCATTTAGTGTGTATTTAAATTTATAAAAGTTGTTTTGGTTTTACATTTGTACAAGAACACCAATCATACAAATGTTGCATTTAGTTTTGTGTTAGTATAGATTTAAGCAATATTATAATAAAAATACCAAGGCAGTAAAGCAGGCAGCGGGATATTTTTTCCCTTTAAGGAAGGTTTGTCTTTCTGCACGTCTGCAGAGCTGTGCCCCAGGGGACATCGGTGACATTTCCTCACCCAGCAAGGCAAGAAGGCCACCCACTGTGTGAAGTTTTCCATCCAGATTGTGTGGCTCACACACTAGAGGGTGTGGGCCCGCTGTGCGGCCAGTAGTGGCTTTCACTCCTGGTCTGCACACTGCACGGCCGTGTGATGGGAGAGCTCGGGCCGGGCCTTTGCCAAGGCACACAACGGGCAGTGGCTGTCATCATGACCCCAAGCTTCTGGAAAGAACTGTCAGCGGGACAAGGAAGCAGAATGACGCCTATTTTCATCCTCAAGTACATACTAGGCGTCTGTCAGATTCAACTAAAAGGCAGCATCGTCCCAGGGCACACGCACTCATGGTGGTGCAGGGCCGCTGGGCGTTTCTTTCAAAAGGGGAGGAGGAGCAGCCAGAGCACTCGGGAGAGGCAGTGCTACTAAATGGAAAAGGGCCAGTGGCTTTCCTCACGATGCGCTTCCTATAGTTGGTATGTAATAATTAGCTGTAAAATGACTTTTGGAAGATAAAGAAATTTAGATAAATCTTCCCACGTAGGTATGTTACAAACATGGTCTTCATTCTTGCTTACAAAAGCCTCTGACTTCAGGATGACACTTAATGGACTATCCCTGAGCTATGCTGCGTTGGGGCTCCGCGAATCAGCCCGCTGTCTGGGAGTGTGTGCGATTTCTACACACAATGCCTCCCCTAACTACACGTACAAAAGCCTGGCTTTGTAAACGGTGCGCAAGTGAGTTTTCTGCAAGGCTAATTATTTAGAGCAAAAGCCTCGTATGTACATTTCGGTATAAAGTGGCACAGAATGCAACAATTTCGGAGGGAGCTGAAGGCTGATCCATGGGAGGACTGCAGCCTGTCACTATGGCCAGACGCTGGGAAGGACCTGGAGCATTAGGACAATTCTGTGTCATGAGCAGGTGACCAGCGACTTCCTTTATACCCACTCTCTTGGGACAAAGAGATCTTTCTTAAAAATGATGTAAAAAATTGCTTGGGGTGGTGGCAGAAGTGGCGTGTGGAGACGCACTCAAGTAACTGGACACTTACCTGATCCACAATTTCCTGAAGCAGTTTCACGTCTTGCTCTCGAGACCCGGTGCTGTCTTCCAGCTGCAGGTGAAAGGCTGGGGAGAAGGACTCCCCCACCACTTTCAATCCAGAGATGCTGAAGGAAACACACAAATCCACAAACACCTCCAGGCTTGAAGACAGCTCACACAGAAACCATTTGAAAGTCTACACTGTTAGGGCCCGCTGACTATAATAAACTTGTGGCTCATGGGAACGTGGTGGGATTCTGCTTCCCACAAAGAAAGGTAAACCATGCGCTCCGGGCAGCACTTTCTTGGCTGGGAAACCACCTGTGATGCTGCTTCTGTGAACAAAGCACCAGGTTTCCCGGCCCCAGCCTCCTACCGGGGGTCTATGCCCACTGCCCACTTGGCAGGGCCCTGGCCTGTCGTTTCCTTGCCCAATGTGCTCCCTGCCTCCTGCTCTCCCCTGTGCTGGTGCCCATGCCGGGTCCCAGCTGCAGCGTCGCTGACTATGAGGGGCCTCCTTCGTCACCCAGCTCAGGGCGGTGCCGCTGAAACATTTCCTGTTACTCGTCCTGTCCTGATTCCTTCGTGGACGATGTACTACAGCCTCTAATGTTACACTTCCGTGCTTAGCACCTATGTCTTTACTTGGGTTTTGTCTCTCATAAATTATAGGGATGGTTTCTGACATTAAAAAAATCATATTTTAACTACCAGCAACATGTTTGAATTGAAAAAAATTCCTTATTTGCAGTTTAGTTTTAAATTTTATGTGGATTAAGATTATCTTCTTTTTTTTTTTTTTTTTTTTTTTGAGACAGAGTCTCACTGTGTTGCCTGGGCTAGAGTGCCGTGGCGTCAGCCTAGCTCACGGCAACCTCAGACTCCTGGGCTCAAGCGATCCTCCTGCCTCAGCCTCCCGAGTAGCTGGGACTACAGGCATGCGCCACCATACTCGGCTAGTTTTTTCTATATATTTTTAGTTGTCCAATTAATTTCTTTCTAATTTTAGTAGAGACGGGGTCTCGCTCTTGCTCAGGCTGGTTTCGAACTCCTGAGCTCAAACAATCCGCCCGCCTCAAGATTATCTTCTTATTTAGGATTAATAGTACAGAAATCTGCAGCTTCTCAGAGAGGAGGATTTCTTTAGGGGTGAAATCCTATATTTTTAAATAATTATTACAGATACAATGAGAACTTTGTGCCACATTTTATTTAGTCAGTTCATTTAAAGGCCATTTTATCCTATAATAAAAAAATATTGTTTGATTTTGGATCTTCTGGGACACAAATGGTGATACACATTTATTTGAAATTGGGCTAAACATTTTAGATTGCTTTCATTTAGTTTGTTTCACCTAGAGAGATCTGTTTTTCCCTTAGAATGAAATGACCATAAAAAACACTAGGTAGCACAATTGAATCCTCACAGTTTAGGACTCAAAAAGCTTTTACAGAATGACTACTGTGTGCTACAATCACATGACGTACTGGAAGCTACTCTCACTTGGCTTTCAAAACACCCTTGGACATAAGTAATTTGTGTCTCCTTTTTTAAATGTAATACATCATGCTAGGATCTCTCAATAAAGCAGGCTGAAGGTACAAATCATGGAATCTTAGAATCTAAGGCATCTGAAATGTGAGGGAGCCTTCTAGAGGAATTCCTTTACTAAGTAGAAACTAAGCAATACGTTTCCAAAACCCATTTCTTATGTGAATCTTGACTGTATCAAAACTCATACTAAGAAGTATCAATTCTTTTAGGTCATGGTCTCTTAGAACTTAAAAGATGTTTTTCAAATAGCATTCACATAAGTCAAACGGCCTGGATTTTCCTCAGCATATACAGGATACCTGAAGCCCCAGTGTAGCTTGTTCTCTGATCAAATGGGTTCCTCTCACATTTTGGGTGGGGTAGAAGGAATTAAACAAAATGCCTTACTTCTGGTTGCCTAGATGTTGACTATTAGAAGAATTTAACTAAACCCAAATGGATACAGAATTGTAGCTCAGTTTCAGAAACTTAGAAGCTGTGTTTCAGAGACCACTATATACTCTTTAAAGACAAACTTTGGCAAACATATCATTTTATCCAAATGGATAAATACCGGGCACTGGGCTAGGTCCCAGGGCAGAGCAATCACCATGGTAGCCATGGTCTTCATTGTGTGCTTGTAGTCTAGGGAGAGAGCCAGACGCCCATAGACACCTCTATGACAATCTGGGGAAACTTCCAGTTTCTGACGAGAGGCAAACTAGCATAGGTTGTTGACTTCCTCTCCCAAACTCAATCTCAGAAATGAGAGAAGTAAATCACTGATTAGAGAAAACTGGGGGGAAAAAATTACTTAGAACTAAACATTGAAGATACTGCCTCTGAAATGTTTATCTTTAATATATTTATTGGAAAATGAGAAATAAAATTAATAAGCCAAATGTTAGGAGCTAAAGAAGAGTAAGTATACAATGCAATGAAATATGAGTATATAAAAATAAGGAAGAAATCAATGCAAGGAAACAGACTATGACAAAAACACACAAAACCAAACTCATACAAATTAAAAGAGGAAATGATATAGACACAGACTATCCTCAACCCAAAGGTATCAAAGGTAGAGAGCCCTAAAAGGGGTACCCCACTTGACTTTGAAGGAACATAAAGCCTGGTCCTAATGGCTCCATGAAGCAGAAAGTAAAAATCAGCCAAATAATTTACTGAAGCTACCATAACACTGATTCCTATGTTACTTAAAGTTGGCATAACAAAAAATTATGAGCTCGTTTAAATTATAAATATCAATATAAAAATTCAAATTAAAATATTAGCTAAATAAACCTGAAAGTATGGAAAAATATAATCAAGCAGGGGTCTGCTCAGGAACATAAAGATGGTTTAACATCAGAAGATACATCAATCTAATTTGGCCATGAGACAAATTTATGATTTATCTTAATAGACATGAAAAATATTAACATTTGACACAGTTCATCAATTTAAGATTTTAAAGAAAGATCTTCAAATCTAGGAATAATTGGAGAGAGGCCACCCACCAAAAATCTATAGTATGATGTTTGATACTTAATGAAGGAATGCTTCTATACTGAGAATAAGATAAGGATGTCTGCTATTACTGCCATTGTTCAATACGGTATTAGAGACCCAGAACAATGCAGTAAAAGAAAAAAAAAACTAAGATATGTAAGAATTGGGAAAGAGAGAAAACCATTATTACAGGTAATAGGACTTCTTTGTACAACATCATAACAGAATGAAACATACTACTGGAATTAATAAGAGCTTTGAAACACTGATGGATATAAGATCATAAGATCAGTTTAGAGAAAACAATAATATTCTTCTTAATCACGAACAGTCAAGTAGAAAATATAAGAGAAAAGGCAACCCCGTTCGTAACAGCAACAAAATCTATAGGACATCTAGAAATTCCCTTTGAAGTTTCCATAAAGGTACAAGGGCTTTATGGAGAAAATATTCAAATTCAATTAAAGGACACAAAGGAAGATTCAAATAAATAGATTACATTCATGGATGACAATTCCCTTTCCTCATTAATCAGAAAATTTAATACAGTTCCAATTATAATTCTAGCAATAATTCTGGAGGAACCTGTGCTCTAAAACTTACGTAGTAATAAAACAGATACACTGATGAAAACAGAGTCTGAGGACTGAGTAATCACACCAATGAAACGGAAGAGACAGCCCAAAACCAGATCCAGGCACAAATGTGAAACTGGTGTATGACAGACAGTACCACCGACAAGCAGGAGAAAGGACGTGTTTGGATGTTAATCAGAAACTGACCCCAATAATTCTTAACCTGAGACATCCTTCTCCAGACTCCACTCCTTCCTTCGGCCACCGTCCAGTTTCTCAGTTCCTCTTTACAGTAAGACTCCTCAAGACAGTCATCTAAGCTGTGTCCGCCTGCTCTCTTCCCAGTCTCTCTGGAACCTCTGTCAATCAGGCATTTTGCCCACCACTCCCCTGAAACTGCCCATCAAGTCACAATGCCCTCCACATGATGAAGTCAAAGGACAGGCATTCAGTGAGCTGGCCTGGCCTGTTGGCAGCAACACATCACAGGCTGCCTATGAAAGCACTTTTTTCACGGGCTTCTAGGACCTGACTCTTCTGGTCTGCCGCCTCCTCACTGGCTGCCAATTCTGTCTCTTTGGCTGGATTCTCACCTCTTCACATTGAAATGTCTGAAATCGTTATCTATAGGCTAATGACTCAAAAATTTATCTCTAGCTCAGTACTCTCGCTCACACTTCACACCTGTGTACCCAGTGGCTGCTGTCCACTCACTGTCCACTCAGTGTCTGACGGGCAGGCAGTTCAGATTACCATACCTAGCACTGACCTTCCCCAGTAAGCTTTCTTCCACAGTTCTTCCCTCTCTCTCTCTAGCAACCCCATCTAGGTGCTCTGATCAAAAACCCTACGCTCAACCTGGAGCCTTCTCTTTCTCACTCACCCGGCATATGAACTTCAGCCAAATCCAGCTGGCTCTTCCTTCAAAACATATCCAGAATCCAAACACCTCATGGATACCATGAAGGTCAGAGTCACCGTCATGTTTTGCCTGCATCAGTCTTCTAACTGGTGTCCTTGCATCTGTTCCTATTGCCGTACAGTTTATTTTTTTCACACCATGAAAGAGTAATTTTGCTAAGACGTAAGTTGGGCTGGGCTGTCACTTTTTTGCTCAAAATGATGCCAGGGCTTCCTATGTGGGCCAAGACTCTTATCACGGCCTACAAGGCCTGTGTGGGCTAGTCTGTTACCTACCTGGCCCTCACCTTGCACAAGGCTCCCCTCTTCTCCTTCTTGTCACACTGGCTTCTTGCTATTTTGTTTGCTGTTCTCTTTAACCATCTAGATACCTGCAAGTAGGTACTTCCTGCAACCTTTGTTAGTGTGTTTAGTATGACGTGCTCGTGGGGTCCTCCCAATGTGGATACTGAGGAGGCAACTGGAATGAGACCTGGAGCCCGGAAGAGCGGTACAGAGTGGAGACAGGAATCAGTGAGCTGTCGACACACAGGTGGCATGAAACGATGTGAAGCTACAGGTGTGGAAGAAGGCAATTCTTCAAAAAGGTAATGAGAAGAAAAGAGGAGGACCAAGGACTACTAAGCCCTGAATAGCAGGGTATTGAAAGAAAACCTTCAAGGGAGACTGAGATGAAGCCATTCAAAGACGTAGAAGGAAACCTACAAGTGCAGTGTAGCAGAGTCCAAAGGAAAGAGCGGCCACCTGTGCTGAAAGCTATGGAGACATCAATCAGGTGAGGGCTGAAGACAGTACACTGCATTCAGCACCATGGCAGTCAGTGTGACCTCCGCAGCAACAGTTTGGGTGAAGTGCAAGAGTAGAAGCCAGATCTCTGAGTTTCCAGTGTAAATGAGGAAAGAAGATGTGAAGAAAGCATAACTAACTCTTGAGAAGGTTAGCTACCCAGAGAAGCAAAGAAATGGGTAGTTGCTAGAGGGAAATGTGGGGTCATGGGCAACAGGAAGTGGGCAAAGTGGACTCAGATGCTCACAAAATGACTCAGGAAAGGGCAGAGCCTGAGGACGAAGCAGGGGTGAGCAAAGGCACTCGGTCCTTCAGAAAGAAGAAGGGCCTGTGACGACTGCAGGGACATGTCTGGACTATGACAGGAGGAAGGCTGTTCAGATATCCATAGGTGCAAGAGTTCCCAAGTAGACAGCACAAGGCCAGGCTGTTAGCCGAAAATGGGTGGAGCAAAGACGGAGGGTTAGGGATTTCGGAAAGAAGAAAAGCTATGATAGAGCTGCAGAAGGGGAAGATGGGACTTAGAAAAAACCTCACCAGACAGATGAATTTACAGGGACTCCAATGTGCTGGGCTGTGTTGGTATATTACAATTTCACAAACCAATGTAACTGGAACCAATTCAAATATATCTCTCTACCATAAATCATGCAAGAACTTTTGTTATTATCACACAGACACACCCAGAACTTTAATTGTCTTTGCCCTTATTTTATTGTGAACAGCTGTGTCTACTCATTTATCAACTGTCATTTTAGAAGTCTCTAGTTTCTATAGCTGGCAACAGAGATAGGACTTTCATGACCAAAAAAGCTCGTTTCACCTTAGGAAAGGCAAAAAGAAACACCTTGGGCAATGTTCAGATCACTTTCTATAAGATCAGAAATATGCCTGAAAAAGTTACCAACCTCAATTTTTTTCTTCAACTTCAGAGGACTCTTAAATAACTATTTTTGTGTAATATTTAAAAAAAAAGAAATGTAAAGTTCATATCAATTTCACTTCCTCCTTTTTCTTAATTTAAATCAAAACTTGGCAATTACTAAAAAGGGAACATGGGCAATATGAGCCCACTGTCATCTAATTACAGAACACATAAGGACAACCTTCTACCTGTGCAGTCGTGGAGGGACACACCAGCCTTTACCCTGGCTATTTCTGTTAGTAAGATGCTGGGTTGTTATTTTTATCTTTGCATCTTTTGTATTGCTATAATATTTAATTAATGAGTTTGTTTCATTTTCTGAAAACCAAAGTCATGGTTCTTTAGGACAATGACAAAAATGGATGCTCTGGTTTTAAACAAATAAACCAATTTGAGTGAACTCAATTTTTGGTTTGTTAGTTGCAATTTGGTCAAACTGACCCAAGTCTATAAAATTTAAAACTTTTCATCAGTTAAGTATGGTGCAGACAAACTTTATGTTGGCTGCAAATCTATAAAACTTACCCTTGTAAAGCTTTATGAATTTGCGTGCACTTTTCCTTCAACACTGCAAAAATACCTGAATGAAAAAAATATATTTGGTAGTCAATATGGAACATTTGATAATATCAACTTCAAAATATTTTTAAAGACTCAGTTCAAATTCATCAATTTAAAATGCTGCAAATCCTTGCACATACTAACAGAGAGCCAGTAACTCACACTCCCCTGGAGGCCCGAGCTTCCTCTTTGGTCTTTGGCACTTACCAACCAGCCCCTTCTCACCTTGCTACCCAGCAAGACCATGGCTCTTGTTCTTATCAAGATTCTACAGATAATGTGGCTAAGAATCAAAAGGTACAAAGCTATTACTTATTTCTTAATCCTAAACAATTTGGTGAAAAATCAACTGTAGTGAAGTAATTTTTACAATCTTTTCTTGATATTTTCCTTTTATTAAACCAGATTCAAAAACAAAGTATCTGGTCAGGAGGTGGGAGTGCCAGGCCAGGTAACAAGCAAGGTGGGTGTGCACAGACACACTCACATTTTCTGGTTCTCTGAATTAATACCAATGACGAAGATTCAAAAATACGGTACCAGGTAAGACCTGCAAAAGCCTTTCCATTTTAAGCTTTGGTATGGTGGCACTATCACAGCCAAAGGCCACGCTTTAAATTCTTAGTTGACTTTTTATTTTGCCCACTAAGTAAGCTCTTGTTGGTAAACCAGGTTTGGCCTCAGTACCAATTGAGGATTCAAAGCCAAAAGGGGAAAAACAACAATATTTATAAAATTATATAGACCAAAAAGTAGCACATTTTAGCTAATTTCTCAAAGAACTATAAAAAAACGATAAACCAAACAACAACTGGTTTTCTTACACCAATGGAATTTGTGTAGGCCCAGAACTGACGGAGATGGAGAACCCTTCCTCCTCCCAGCATCTCCACCCACACGTGAGCCAGCCTCACTTGGGCTCCAGCTCCCAGGATAGGAGAGAAGCTGACCCCAAGTGCCTGAGGCACAGACACCTTCTTCACTGCCATTCTTCCTGTAAATGCCAGATCATGTGATTATGGGCCAAAGTCTTGTCTGGTAAATAATTTCCTCTAGCTAATTCCTCCAAAAAGCAAACCAGTAACATGACTAACATAACCTGAGATGTCTTTGGTTTCCTGGGTGTAAAAGGTTATACCTGGATTCTCTTCCATGATGTTGAGGGCCTCAATTGCTGCAGCAGCTAACAGGGGAGGTAGCGAAGCAGAAAAGCAGTATCCCTGGCCGGAAAGTCGCTAAGAAGAAACAAACAAGTTAAAAACATGTATACATTTTCTATCCTTTTTGGGTAAACATTAGAAAGGCACTGATTCTCTACACTACCTACGTAACAGTGCACACATGTGGTGAGGGGGTAAGATCCAGCCACAAATAAATGTTCTACATGTAAAAAAAAAACAAAAAAAAAAACAACAACAAAAAAAACCAAGACCTTTTGTTAAAAGGGAGATAATTTTTAAATATAAATATTTTCACTGATTCTTTAAAAATTGACTTTTAAATAAAAACTGTGATAAACTAAGAGTAAAATTTTATATTCTGAAGTTATATTTTGAGGTGACCAATGGAGCAATCAGTTTCAGTTTTTGCTTTTGTTTTTAAAAAGAACCCACCTGATGGTCAATTACAAAAGATCTGCCACAGCAGAAACCTCCAATAGAAGCAAGTGAGTTCTCCATGTTGGCACTGATAAGATCAATATCATCAATCTGCCAGAAAAGTAGGAATGAAAGTTATTCTTCAATTTCAAGAAAAAAAGGGCAGCTTCAAGCCTAGAGACAAAATTTCAGCATTAAACACGCCTGTTAACGTCTGGATTCAAACAAACTACTGACATAAAAATAAAGGATAAACCACAGAAAATCTATATCTCTAAAGGGATGGATTGTATTTTATGGCCCATCTCTGAAACTGTCTCATTTTATACTTTTTTTTTTTTTTTTTTTTTACCATTTCATTATGCATTGACTACTTTACTCACAGTGGAAGAGATAAGTGAAAAGGAGATAAAATCCAAAGTTATTTAATATTAAAACTAGTCAGAGAGTCAGACGTACAAACTCAGATGATTTCCTTACTAAAACAGTGGTCTAGATGGCCTTCCCCACGGAATGTACTTGAGCTAAATAAAAATAATCTATCAAAGTTTTGAGAACTTTATTCCTATATTCAATTTACCTTTCGGTATTTCATAAATGAAATCAATTTAGCCAAACCTCATGGCAATAGAATCTCTGACCAAACTGGACAGTGGATGAACCTAATGTGCTCTAACGACCTAAGGGCTTCTGAGTTCCCAAGTCTTCCCAACTGCACAGAGTATCTTTGGTCCTCATCTTCCACCCTGGCCCCAGCACCAGGTTCCACTCTGGGTACACAGCAGGCATTTAATAAATACATACTGACAACCATGATAATGGTTTGTCAGATCATATCAATGTATAACATTTTCTAAGAGTTCCACACATCCAACAGGGAAACCTCTGTATTCTTACTCTTTAAAATTTTTTAACCTTTTATTATGAAAATTTCAAGCCTATAAAAAGTAGAAAGAATAAAGAATCCCCATCACCCAGATTCAATTATTAACAACTCAAGGACAAACCTGCTTCACTCTACAGCCCTGACTGCCCTCATCCTTTCTTTGTAGCCAACCTCAGACTTCACAGGATTTCAACTATATATTTCAGTGTTATTTCTACAAGATATTGGGCTCTCTCAAAAATGTAATCACAAAACTGTTATTATACTTATTAAACTTAAGATGGCTCATAAAGTTTTTTTTTTTAAACAGCATTTGTTTGACTCTGGATCAAAATAAAGTCCATACATTCTGCACTTTTAGGACCTTATAAATATTATCTCAGTAGCAAGCAATTGCTGAAAACATTGAGAAAACTAGAACAGTGAAGCTTTTTTTCCTTTTTAAAGATTTTCATGCCTTAAAAATGGCTCTCGTGCACTGCTACATTTGTTTGAATTGTGTTTCCATTTATCTTAAACGCCTCCATGCATTTAACCTGCCAAACTTCAGTCTGTCTTGGAAGAGTGTTGCGTCCATCTAACTTCATGTGACATCTACTCTGCTCTATTTTTTTATCTACGACTGTATGGATAGTGTGATGCAGATAATCTGAGGTGACTTTCTATATTATAGTTCAATTCTGTAACACAGGTTGCAAAGCTTTTATGTACACGTTTTGGAAAAAAAGCTTCCTGTAACTCCACCCCAACATAGCTGGTAAAGATAGCTGCTCAAGACTGGCTGACTTCTCTCTGCCCTGAGGCCCCCAGAGCACAACCCACTAAGTACTGTGGGCAGTCTGGGTCCATTTCCCTTCAGCAAAAGGAAACATGACAAATTCATTCCAACTGTCTAGGACCTTGAGGGGCTTTACTGAATCTATGTCAGTGGCGTTCTGATGCTATATATATATATATATATATATATATATATATATATGTAAAATAAATTATAACGGTATCTACCACTCACAAACAGATTACACAGAACACAGAATTTTAAATACTAGAAAGAATGTCCTTTCACTGCCATCATAAACACTTTTTAAAGGACTACTTAGGGAATTCTTAATGATTTTAAGAAATAAATGGAAGGCAAAATTTAATCATTTCTAGAAAAGAGACACTAAAAGCCAAGATCAAACACTATCATGTCAACAGTACACAAACCAAGCCACTTTGAATTTATAGGTTCAGAAGGAAGACTGGGCTCCCTGGGCTCAGTGAAGTGACAAAGACCAAAGTTTCACGACCCTCCAAATTGGTGAGGAGCACTGTCTTATGCCTGTAAAAATATGACTAGCAGCATAAAACTACACATTTCATATATGAGGGGAAATGTTCCAAAAAAGGAGAACTTACACTGATTCCATAGTGTTCCGTGACTCCTCGGCCATGCTCCCCTAGGACTCCAAATGAAAGGCTTTCCTCTAGAAAGATTCTTGCTTTGTATTTGTATTTTAATTTAACCTAAGTGTTATATAAAAGACAACTTTAAAATACTGATGATGAGCAGCATATAGAATATATTGTGAAGAAAAGAATCAAACTTAGGATTAAAAAAGTATATACAATCGACCCTCAACATTCACGGATCTGTATTTTCAAATTTACCTACTTGTTAAAATTTATTTGTAACCAAAAACAATACTTGGGGCACTTTTTCAGTCATTCACAGACATGTGCACGTGCAGAGTGGTGAAGAATTTGAGTTACCAACCTCGCTTTCCTGGCTGAGGCTGAACAGGCCACTGGTTTCAGTGATACTGTAAACAAGTGTCCTTTTCATGGTTGATTTATTGCCATGTCTTTTGCATTTTTGTGCTTTTGGTTGTTAATTTTACTGTTTAAAGTGACCCCTAGCATTGGGCTGAAGTGCCATCTGTTGTTCCTACGTGCAGGAAGGCTGTGATGTGCCTTATGGAGAAAATCCTTGTGTTAGAGAAGGTTCAGGCATAATTTATATTTAGTGCTGTTGGCCAATCAATGGTAATGAATCAATATATATTAAATAAGGCAACTTTAAACAGAAACAAACATAAAACAAGTTATGTACTGAATGACTGACAAAAATGTTGTGACCAAAGGCTCACAGAGATCGTAACCCTAGTAGCAATAATTCAGTATTCCCTACTGCAGTGTTCATGGCAACTACAGAACATAACCATGTTTACTGTACTTTGGATGGTCTAAAATGATTCAACTGAACTCACCAATAGAGACAGCACAATACCAATTTTTAAAAAGAAATATTCTGACATTTACGCATATAGACATGTAACCCATCTGTTAAACACTGGTCTGATTATACATAAAAACTGCTGGGAAATGCAGACATTCCTCCCTTGGTGGTTCTGTTTTAAGTTGGACTCATGGTATTTTTTAATACAGATAAGGTTTTCCTTATTAGGTCTTTCCCTTTGTTTTCAGGCTTATAAGAAAGTCCTTTGCCATCAAGGGTTTGGATGCATATTTATCTATAGGCTTTTCTAATTATTTCATGTTTTTTAAAAAATACACAATCCAACAATTCATTGGGAAACTGAAACATGCATATTTGTGTATAGGTATTTATTTCCCTATGTAACGGATTTACTCATATGTGATTTGTATGTAATGACTTGACAACCAAATTAAAATACAGCTATCACCATCCACTAGATTAAAATACAGCTATCACCACCCACTAGATGACATAAGAAGCTGTTGGGCTCTCAAATCTTCCTTTGACTCATGTATTTTGATGCCAGAATCACACTTAAAGGCTTAATTAGTAAGGTGCTTTCCTACTAAAACTACAGAAATAATGCATAGAATGTATAAAATGGTTTGATGTACCATACTGCAAAACTCTGATAATTTATTTTTTAATTATCAAAAGTTTAGGCTGGGCGTGGTGGCTCACACCTATAATCCTAGCACTCTGGGAGGCTGACGTGGGAGGATCGCTTGAGGTCAGGAGTTCAAGACCAGCCTGAGCAGGAGCAAGACTCCATCTCGACTAAAAAGAGAAAAAAATTAGCCAGGTGTAGCGGCACACGCCTGTAGTTCCAGCTACTTGGGAGGCTGAGGCAGGAGTATTGCCTGAGCCCAGGAGTTTGAGGTTGCTGTGAGCTAGGCTGATGCCATGGCACTCTACCCCGGGCAACAGAGTGAAACTCTGTATGCAAAAAAAAAAAAAAAAAAACAAATTTACTGGCTATTCTTATGCTAATCAATGTCAAATGGGTGAGGGGTCCTTACTACTGGGCTATTGGTTGCATTTTCATTAACAACGAATAAACTAATTTCGAAAAAATTACAACCTTTCAGCACTGACTCTTTTCTATCCCTTAATATAAATGAGGTATTATCTAGTTTCTGAAAAGCATGTTTTAGAAAATATTTAATAATATTACTGGCACACAAATAGACAAATCAGTGAAAGAAAACAGATACCCCAGAGTCAAACCCTAATTTTTATCATGTAATCTTTATGTACTCCATGCTTATATATACTTGATATGTTCTCACATTATGTTTCACTGTTCTGGCTCTATATTTGTCAATCAGCACTGTTTTATTATTGTAGCCCTATAACATACAGTTCCATTAATAGTATCTTTTGGTCTACTACCTCCCCTACATTACTCTATCAGTTTGTGAGAAGCTTATAAAAACAGGGAGAAGAAAACAAATGCATCTCTTTTACTGATATTTAGGATGTACTTAGATTTCCTCAGAAATAGTGAAAAACTTTACAAATAACATATGAAACCCTTATTTTGAATCCTTGTTCATTTAATGAACTCCTAGATTAAAATCTCAAAGGACGAATGCAAGGGTGGTCCAATATAGGAAAATCAACTGATGTAATACACCACATTAACAGACTGGGCGGGGGAATCACATGATCATCTCGATGCAAAAAAGGCATTCGACAAAATCCAACAACCCCTTATGATAAAAACATCTTAACAAATTAGGAATAGGAAGGAACTTCTTCAACCTGATAAAGGGTATTTATGAAACACTCACAGCTAACATCATACTCAATGGTAGAAGACTGAAAGCTCTCCGTCTAAGATCAAGCACAAGATACCTACTTTTGCCATTTCTAGTTAACACTGCAGAAGTTCTAGCCAGAGCAATCAGGTAAGAAAAATAAAAGGCATCCAAATGGGAAAGGAAGAAGTAAAAGCATCTCTATTCACAGATGATATGATCTTATATATACAAAGATCTACAAAAGTCCCATTTGAGCTAATAAATGAATTCAGCAGAAGTTATGTGATACAAGAGCAATACACAAAAATCTATTGTATTTCTATAAACAGTAAATAACCTGAAAAAGAAATGAATAAAACAGTTTCATTTATAAAAGAGTAAAAAAGAATCAAATACTTAGTGATAAATTTAACCAAAGAGGTGCAAGATGTATGCACTGAAAACTATAAAAAACTGCTAAAAGAAATTAAAGATCTAAATAAATGGAAACGTATCTCACGTACATGGCATGGAGGACTTAATATCATTAAAATGGCAATAATTCCCCAAATGAGCTACATATTCAATGCAACCCCTATCAAAATCCCAGTGACATTTTTTTTACGGAAATGGAAAAGCTGATCCTAAAATTCAAATGGAATTTCAAGGGACCCCAAAGAGCTAAAACGATCTTGAAAAGGGAGAAGAAAAGTTAGAGAACTAACATGTCCTGATTTCAAAACTTACTAACAAAGCTGTAATAACTGAGAAAGTGTGGTACTGGCATAAAGACAGACATACAGACAAATGAAATAGAGTCTAGAAATAAACCTATACATCTATGGTCAGTTGATTTTGTCAAGGGTGCCAAGACCAGTAAATTGGGAAAACAAGTCTCTCCAACAAATGTTGCAAGGACAGCTGGACAACCACAGGAAAAAGAATGAAGTTGAGGCCCTACATAAGAGCATATACAACAATTAACTCAAATGAATAACAGACCTAAATGTGAGACCAACAACTATAAAGAAGGAAAAACAAAGGAGTAAATCATCATAACTTTGGATTAGTCAAAGATTATTAGATATGATACAAAAGCACAACCAACGACAAAAAAGATAAATTGGACTTCATCAAAATTAAAAACTTTTGTGCATCAAGGGACACTATGAAAGAAGTGAAACAAAACCCCACATAATTGAAAAAAAATTTGCAAATCATGTATCTGAGAAGGGTCTAGTATCCAGAATATATAAAGAACTCCTCTTACAACTTAAAAAAAAAAAAAAAGGACAAACAACCCAAATAAAAATGGACAAAGTACTTGAATAGACATTTCAAAGAAAACATACAAATGGTCAATGAATCTATGAAAAGATACTCAACACTACTAATCATATCACCAGGGAAAATGCAAATTGAAACCATAATGAGGTATCACGTCACACCTATCAAAATGGTTATTATCAAAAAAACCTCAGAAAATAACAAGT